CGACCTACAAGATGCGACTCCTTTCGAGATCTCCCCGAACTCAACGGCAGACTTTTTCAAACATCACAGCGGATGCATGATTTCGGAACACATTCCGGGATTCGCGCCTAGTGTCAACGACGACACCGCATGTGAGTGATCATTCATTTGGGACAATCTTCATGATCTGATACGAGCTAGTCCTAATCTCTAGTGCAAAATCCGGATTAACGACAGACTTGTATCCGCTCATTAGCATGGCAAAAATCTCGCCTTGTTTCTCCGATATCCTGTTCCCAACCGAGGTGGGTAAGTTCGTCCATCGCAGGCAAATCATGACGTCACTTGGCAGTACTACTACGACCAATCCTGGTGGTCTGGGGAGCTCGAGTACCCCGACAACATCTCCTGGGAGGATAAACTGCCACAAATATGTGCGTCCATATCGACGTGTAATCATATGCGTCCTGACACACGGGCTCTTCAGACTGGCGCGGGATGTCGAACGGTGGGCAGATAGTCGGCGACAACTTCCACGCGTTCCCCCGCTTTAAGCTCGTCGACCTCGGCCGGACGCATCCGGAGCTCATGGACGTCGCACTCACTCGTTTCGCAGAGACCCTGTGCGGAGAGGGCTGCGACCGAGAAGCGGTGATCATGGAGTACAACATCACCGGGGAAGGCGAAGCGCGAGAGGATGTATACTGGTACAAGTACGCGCTTGACGTCGACGGGACGACGTTCTCGGGGCGTTATCTCGGCCTGTTAAGGTCTGGATCCCTCGCGTTCAAGGTGCGCCTCCTTTTTCTTCCGTTCCATGTATTCCTCATATATAACGGGATTGTAGGCCACGGTGTTTGAAGAATACTTCAACGATTGGCTGAAGCCGTACGAGCACTACGTGCCCGTCCTCCCGGATCTCTCGGACCTTGTGGAGAAAATCGAGTGGGCCAACGACCACCCTGAAGAGGCGAGGCTCATACAACAGCGAGGGATGCAAGTGGCCCAGAGGATCGTGACGGACGATCAGAACGACTGTTATTTCTTTGCGGTTCTACTGGAGTGGGCGAGATTGCAGGATTATGCGCGGACATTGGATATGTCGTTTGAAGATTAGACGGTTATTGAGTGTGTGTGTAACTTATGGTTTGCACATGTCAAGTCGGCTGGGAATCATACTCGATGATGTTTCAAACCGCAACCGCAGCCATGACCATCATATGAGAAATATGCATATGTAGTAGGTTCGGCTATGGCGGTTCTGACGATGCGTATTTATTGAAAGTTCCTTCTCTCGGTGTTCCTTCCAACTGACAACAGCCGAGTGGGAATCTATGGTTCAGATTGAGAGGGAGCACCATCCTAGTACACGATAAGTACCGTTGTTACTTTAAGCGGACATCGGTGCAATCTGGTGCCCTATCCTGACATACCGACCCACATTTACCTCTGGAAACGATTAAAATGCTCATGGTTCTGGAAACGCACGGAGAATTCGCCAGCAGTTAACTATTTACTGTTGACAATCCAGCGAAGAGGTTGCTGACATCCTTCAAATTGTCTCTGATCGATGTGAAAATTGGGTTCAGTAAATGGCCAATTCTACGCCTTGCACGCTGTGGCAACCTACGGCAAAGTGACCAAATGCGTGACAATTTTAACAATTTAACGAATTAATAGTCTGTGTCCCTTTGCGGCACTTGTAACAGCACCGCGGTATGAGGGTTCGTTTGTATAAAAAACCGCGAAAGAGGCCCAGCGCGCGCGAAAGAGTTTTGCACCGCGCGCGAAAGAAAAGTACGTCAGACAGCCTGTGTCATCAAGCGTAGGCAAGCCGAGTGGCTGTGCGACACCCACAAAATTAATATACACACAAGTATTAGCGCAGCCGGTCGTATCAATTGTATCTTTGTATCTCCATGCAGAGTCTGCGCGTGGGTGTGTCAATATACCTCCTGAGGCTTTCAATGCTGAATATGCATACACCATGATATGTGCGCCAAATATGTGCGCCAAATATGTGTGAAAAAAGACTGCCGTTCGACATTAATATCGGTATGCAGCATCATCTGTGTCATACTAAAGTTGCCTCTCCTTCTTCCTCTTATTTTTGGTCACTACTGCCCTGACTCCCGTGTTAGGAAAGTCGATATGAACTTAGGGAAGACCGCTCAATCTAATCTAATCTAATCTAATCATATTATCTTATCTGGTTGATCAACCTTGGCCGACTCAAACCTTAAAATCAAGTTGAAATTCTGACCTGTTGAAAAATTGTGTGGAAGACAACTGATTCGCTTTCCCGCGGACTCCTCAATTGGAGCATGATGACCAGCTTCCCCGGTCAGGATTACAATATCAACTTAAGGTCGAGGTTCCAGATCACTGAAATTTGACTGAAATCCGCAGAGACTGCACAGAGGGGGGTGATACCGTTGGTTTGTCGCTGTCTTTAATCTGAATAATGTTGCCGCGACTTCCGACTCGGCCGTGCGAAGTCGACTCGGGGAAGTCGACTTGAGTCGAGTCAAGCCGAGTCGTTCTGATGACTCCGCCACGACTTCGAAGTCAGTGGAAGTCGACTCAAGTCAACTTGAGTGACTTGAGTCGAGGGTATTTTAGGAAATGTTCCTTTTCATGGATAACCACGATTAGAGGCAATTCCTATTTTTTTCTGGGTGATTGTGACGAGCGTGACACAACATCACATGTGTGACGTTCGTGTCACGGATGCGGTATTTTGTGTTTCTATCCAGTTTCTGCACATCATTGGACCCCGAAAAATCACAAAAAATTGTTTTTTGCTATATAAATGGATACACATGCATCAAACCCCCATAATAGCGATGGGAACCTGGAATGACGATGAAATAAATGATCTTTTATTGATCCCATGTAAACACCAGTCAAGTTCAATGTATATACCTACCTACAGTACTCCTATTTGACGAGGTGGTAGTTTTAGCCAAATTCAAAAATATTGTCCGACTTGGCCGACTCAAGTCGACTTGAAGTCACTCCGAGTCGACTTCGCTAGACGGAGTCGAGTCGAGTCGAGTCAAACTTCAAATTGAGTCGACTCGCCGAGTCGCGACTCGACTTTTTGAGTCGCGGCAACATTAAATCTGAAATAGAACAATTAGTCAATGTTCTTTTGCGCGCGCATTGATCTCTTTCGCGCGCGCCAGGATCTCTTTTGCACGCGGATTTTGATTTTTTATACAAAAGAACCATCATACGCGGCACTTTCCCCCTATCCAAACAGAAGCCCTTAATCGGTTTTTTGAACTCCGCAACTTGAATCTCCATGGCGCAAAAGATAAAATGAGTTCTACACAAGTTCAGAGCAAAGCAAACCACTATGTTGGCCATACAGGAACCGGGGGTTCCAGACAAACACTCCTTCATGTGTGAGCATACAAGGATTCAGTCCTCTCTATATTCAGGGCCTCCGGGCCAGCTCGACAGAGACTAGAGGATAAGAAGTCAGTATACAAGCTGCCACAGGCAAATGAGAGCCTTTATGTGTGTGGTTCTTACATGCAATTGACGCGCCAAGGCTTCATACAGGTCCAATGTAGAGAGGTGATTCAGTCTGCTCATCTTCAACCTTGCATCCAAGTTAGAGGCCCATAGTTGGTCTAGTCTCTTGGATGCTCCAACGGAGAAGCTCGTGCCTCACTTGTTGAATACTTACAAGTTGGTCATGGTCAGACCTATAGCTAGTGTCATAATAGCCCCTGAGACAATGGGATAAATCACTTGACTTGGCACATCATGGATAACCATGTTGATCGTCATGGCTCAGTGTGAGATGCAAGGGGCACCCGCCGGAGAATGCCGAGACATTAGGTAAGAGGGGAGGGGTCTGAGATCCTTATTTCACTTTTTGGAAAAAGTTGCGGGACACCTCAAAAACACGTTTCAGACAATAATAATAAAATCTATCTTTTTTAGTTTTCTTTGGGTGGCCATGGGCACTCGGGGAGCAAGTTTGGCTCATCCCAATTCGACTCCAATGCGATCGACATTGATGCCAAGCACATACACCTCAGTACACCTCCCACATTGGCTGAAAATACTGTGCCCGCCACCAAGATCACTGCTGATGAGTTTGGCACGGATTCAGAGGCCCCTAAGAAGTCTTGTACGCGGCATGGCCCGGGTAGGGTAACGAGACGTGCCCAGTGCGCTGTCATCACATCAGACGAAGAAGAAGGCCACGGCTGTGCTGACCCGCATTGCACTGAAACTGGTAACATAGAAATGGTTGAATGCACTGGCCCGGCTTGTGGCTCCAAGGTTTGTGTTTACAGGCTCACTGCACACAGCTCAATCTCTTTCAAGTTTCATTTGTGTTGTGCAGGCTTGAAAACTATCCGAGTGGTACTGCGATGACGAGTGCTGTATAAATGCTGGTGGAAGGGCTCGCAAAAAGCATCATGCTAGGTATTAGGCAGGAGATAAGGTGCACTTTTAGGTGCCGAACTCTTTTTATTTCGCTGCGACGAATAATTACTTCAATGCTGAGAACAATTGAACGAAATTACCGCTTCTGGAAGGCACGTGCACTTATGTAATGCTTATGTAAAGAGGGAGGTCAAGGAGCTCAAGTCAGTTTTTATACCTAGTGCGCCAAATTTCTGAGGTGGGTCTTGGCGAGATGGACCACGGATGGTATGGATGTTAATTTCTCCAGCAAAATTCCAGCCAAGATATCAGTGATATATTATGGGTACAACAGGATGGAAGCAACATGAGCTAGAAATTCTGTCAACGATGATTTCAAGCATTTGAACCCAGTCTCTTGCATTTGAGAGCGGAATCCTTGAGCCAAGGTTAAATTAGGAAAACCTAAAGAACTACGTCCTGGGAGAATTGAACTTGTGACCTCCGCATAACACCACGTGCATACACTATCCCTGGAGTGGGTTGCGAGTGGGATGTGAACAATGATTCCGGTCGCGAGGATGTCTGGCGACTGGCGACAAAAAATTGTGAAACATAGAACGAGAAAAAAGTGATCCGACCCGGGCTCGAACCGAGGACCGCCTGCGAACAGATTACGTGTGAAGCAGATGTGATAACCAACTACACCATCGGACCGTTATTAACCTTGTATATGATATCCGTGTCAGCCATCAGGCAGGGTTTGCATATATCATCTTGCAATTATTCCGGTCATAGTCTGCTGCAATATTTGGTATGTGTCGTCACTGTTATTTGATCGGGGATCTATCCTGTGTATCGAATGGGGTACCTCGAGATCGAGCTGGTTTCCTGTGTTTCAGATACATTCCAAAAAGGTGTCTCGAATTCTGACATATAATCAGCTTGGCATGTTCAACCTCAGAAATATCCAGCGTTCTAGTGTCGGTGAATCAACAACCTCGGGTTCGACAGTTTGCCGTATCCCGATGTGAACTACAAGAGGAATACAATTGATTCAGTTCCAACTCTTCGTAAATTACAAGTTCATTTCGGACAGCCAAGTCCGCCGTGCCAGCATCATTGCTGTAACCTTAAGATTATCTAAATTTCCAATGGCTTTGGCCACTCATTGCAGTGGGAAACCCATGAAATTTGTAGCTCGATCCACGATTTCCATTATGATTTTGAGGCTCTCGAAGATCATGATCAGGAGAGGAAAAAAATTCAGGTGCAAAATAAGCAATGGACACGGGATGTAGAGAAGCAAAGGTAGAATAGTTAGGGGAGCGCTGGGATTAACTGAAGTTTGAACGTCACTTGGATTGCAAGGTGGTGACTGTACAGTATACGTACTTAAGGGAGAAGATCCAAGTCGAAGACAAGACGCGCTAGTGCATTCCAAAACTCAAGTGTTATTGTCAACCGGACCACAAGGCGGGCGGCATGACTTTCACAGGATATCGATGCCCCAGAGGCCTGAGGACTGAGTACAGAGAGAACTGCAAAGACTCGATGTCAATTGATAGTATTTCCCTACTTCTCCTCCTCCTCCGGGATCATTTCTTAGCCTTTTCTTTCAAATCCGCCTCGACATGGCAGCAATTTTCTGTGGCACTCCAGCAAATTCAACCAAGTACACAGAAGGGTATACGGCTACCTCTCATGTGTCGATAAATTCCTTACAAATATACATGGCATAATAATTGATTACTGCCCATTTGTACACAATTCTGATAGGTGGTGAAAATGGCAATTATGGTCTAATTTGAGAGAAGCCAAGAGCCGTAGAAAAGTCAATGTTGTGGAACTCATAATATTTTAACATGCTGCCATGTCTTCCATATTGTTCGGGCTCCTTCAGACGAAAATTTATTCCGGATTTACTTCGGACGTGTATGTTTGCTATCAATGCTGTGCATGTTTGCTATCCGATATGCGTTGGAGAACGTTCTTCGAGTATAGAGCATAATCGATGGGCATGATTCCACTATTTCGAAGTGCGGCCAAAATGCGGCCTGCTTGAGCCCGACTTCTCGACCCTCCACGTCAAGCGCCTCACACACTCGACCAGTTGCCGTCTGCTCTGGACCACCATGTCCACCACTCCAACATCGGAGCGATGTATGATACCAAACACTGTGTTCCGAATCCTGCTGACAGTTCTTCCTGCCAGTCTGCGCCCCCGATGCGGATATCAGAGTGTTATCGTCCGACGGCGTGCTCTTCAAAGTCCACCGTAAGAACCTCGAGTTCCATTCCGACATCTTTGCCGACGCGGCGTCCTCCACCCGGCCTGAGAACGGCGACGAAATCGTTCGTCTTTCAGAGGCTTCTGATGTACTGGATGTCTTGTTCCAGTATATGTATCGCCAACCTCAACCTGATCTTCGGGGTCTAAAATTCGATGTCTGCGCCCGCCTGGCGGAAGCGGCAGAGAAATATGTGGTGTACTCCGCTGTCCCGGCTACGAAATTGAGGCTACGGTGCGCATCAGTTTCGTCAAAATCGGACGAGTTGTCCAACACTGCCGCAGGGACTCGATCACAGAACATCCGCTTGAAGTTCTAGATTATGCGGCAAGACATAATCACGCGGATCTTGCGACCGAAGCAGCGCGCCTGAGCATGGGACTGCCAGTCCTGCGAGCCGTGCGAGCTCTGGCACCAGACACCCTCATGAAATGGGTCAGCATCACTCGTTTTCCACTATAAATTGGGGCTTACCTTCCATCGTTGCAGGCCGTTTTCTACGACAAATGGCACGCTAAGACACGGGGAATGCTCGAGCATGGTGTCAAGAATATGACTCGGAGCAGTCCACCATTCGTGGCTGAAGCGCTCGGGACGTGTATCGGTGACAGCAATCCGTGCCACAATTACCGCGAGACGATGGAGAGATGCTTTAAAGAAGGGTCGCGGAAATGGGTGCTGGAGGATTATTTGGGTACGATATCTACCATCCAGTTCGGAGTTTGATGATTGGATGGAAAGGGTCTTGCGATGTAGTTCCGTCTTTATATCTGGCCTAGTAGGTGCATAGTTCCTTTTCTCTTCTTGTTGGAACGCGACATGGAATGGAGAGCGCGAGTGCCCAGAGGAGTCAGCTGAGAACTTGGGCACCGCCAACAGATCCTTCTCTGAGCGGATTTTCCAAGCCAATCAAGTTGGCGCCGTCATAAACGAGAGAACGAAGCAAGTCCGTTTGATTCATATGTTTCCAGGACGGCTCCAAAGCTGCATCCAACAGATCTCGAGAGTTTTGGAAACGCCTGGGATTATCACTGGACTGGGATTACTATGCGGGCTTGAGGTTGCTTAGAAATCGCGGGAAAGACTGTTTCCTAGATTATGAGCTGATGTGTGTAAGGATCACACACGCGTCTCGGCATGGTTTCGGCAACTGCGGCTCAGTGCGTTCGGCTACGCCGGAGTCCGCAATTACTGTGCCGCGGTGCGTAGGCACTACGCCCCAGTTTCTTATTGTTTTGTATAGTAGTTCTAGTCATGTAAGCGGACCCGCAGGGTCTCGTAGTTTGGTATAAATAGTCTCTCATGTAAACCGAGTAGGTAGTTCCGTTGAACACGCGGATTTGCTCGACTCAATCGCTCTCTCATTGAATTTCGATTAACAACTCCGCAAACGGTCTCTTGTGTTATACGACTTTCTATCAAGAAACTCCGTATACTCACAATGTGGTGAGGGACAAAACGTGGGCCCTGGTGCTATGTCCGGGCTTTTATTTGAAACGATTTTTTTTTCAAATATTCGGGTGGCGGGCGATGAAGGGGGTTCGGGGGCCTTCTTTATATGAGGCATTCTTGTAGACTTGGTTCTTATGGTATCGCTCGATTTTTGCCCATCACCTTAAGTCCCGTCGTTCGATCCCCCCTTGAAACACTTTTTTTTCTCTTCTTTACCACCACCGAATCCCCGCAAGTTTCGCGTGTGACCCACACACTCACCTACCGGTCGTTTCAGCGCTCACTTCATCGGCCTCGCCTGTGGCCACTGCATCAAGCAGATCAAAAAGGTCCTTCTCATCATTGCCTCCGCCGCCGAGTCCTTCACCAAAACCAAGGAGGCCGTCCCTCTCCTCAAGTCGCTGAACACCTACGCCGACATCATCAAGGTCTCGAACTCCTGCAAGCTGCGCACCGGCGAAGGAAAGATGCACAACCGCAGACACCGCCGGCGCCGTCGTTGTGGATGCAGAACCGTCGTCAATAAGGCCATTCTCTTCCGCCTCAACCCGTATGCAAAGACCATCCGTGTCGTGCCGTTGTACCTACATACCCAAGGGAATACAATACCAAAATACTTTTGGCTCAATTCAAATGCAGGAGGTGTTGTAAGTAGTGTGGAACTGCTGAGTTTCACACATCTCTTCCACCTGAATGATCTTGTCAACGTGGCCAATTGTGTCAATCGGGTTGTTTCAATCTTCATGCACAGGACATGTATACTGGAACAATTGAATTCAATTGGAGTTTTACATGATGGTGGATAGTCGAACAGGAACAATGATTTGTCGAGCTTCAGCTGAGTACAAGTTAGGATGAGAAGGGAAGGGAAAAAATAGGAAACCTCACCTGCTGGTGGTATTTGAGCGCAAGCAGCGGCGGTGATGCTAGCAAGTCGAAGAGCGGCTTGTACTGGTTGTACGCCGGGCCCGCACCCTTGTTATCTTTGCCACTCCTTACACGCGCCGGTGTCGTCGTCATGGCTCAGGTTTGCGTGGTTGTTGCAGCTACCATCGGGCGCCACCGCGGGGTCGCTGCCGCTACTGTCGGGCGCGCTCTTGTCGAACTTGCAGTGGTATTCCTGCTTGCAATAGAAAGTCCGCCGCGCCCACGTGCACCGCAGGGCGGCGCGTAAGCCGCCCGCCCGCCGGCACTGGAGGCATTAGCGCTAATAGTCGACGGCCGCGAGGAGCGACGGCAGCGTGGATCATGTTCTGCTGCTTTCTGCGACAAGAATGCACTGCGAAAATAAATAAATAAATAAAAATAAGTGCAAGTTATAATTGCACTAGTGCGCACCTGCCGCCCCATCTCTCACCATCCCCACGGATGAAACCAATTGCAAAAATGCGAGGGGTAGCTGCCTACGCAACACGAATCACAAATTCGCGCATGCGAAATGTCTGCCACTGCAGACCCTCCGTGCGCGTTGGGCAGCGTCCGATAGGTCAGCGTGGCGGTTAAATGCCCGGAATTGAGTGCAATGCGACCAGGGGTGCTTTCCTGTGGTACGCAAGAGCGGTCGAGACCTGAAAAATACGAAAATTGAAATGAATGGAATTAAGCACCAATTCGTCGTCCCACCTCGAGTTATCCGCATCAGTCGCATCCAGCATGCGTGAAACGGTTGTTTGTGTGTGGTGCATCATCGTAAAGACTGAATCTTGTCCCGAAACCCGGAGAACCCCCTCCAGAATCGGCGGCAGCGGAAACGATGAACACCCATTGCCAAGCTCGGAGCTTCATGAGGACGTGTGAAAGGGCATGGAGGCATGTTAGTTCTGTCCTGCAGTGCTTCTCCGATGCAGATGGGCGGCGAGAGAGGTGAGCTTGAGGCGAGACGGCGTTGAGGATATGGAGGCAGCGTACAGCAGGTGACAGTGACCGTCACACATAAGTTATGCCAAAAAAGGCATGTCGAGTGCCCGGACACCG